TGACTTTCTAGTCTTTCAATGAAACTAGTGCAGCGTCATCGACTTGGGTCGTATTTGCCACTAATTCTTTTGTCGCACATACTTTGTCACATTTCTTTGCGGAAGAGGCAGGATGATCTGATTCCAGAGTCCGGACGGTTTGTTATACACTGAATTCGGCCGACGACGTTTTGGAAAATTAGTACGAGGAGGCAGGTGGTTTTTGAGTCGGCAAAGATAGAAGAAACTCTTCGTTCCTCTCGGCAGCTCTAGGGTGGGTTTAGATGGAACTTGCCCGTTGGGAGGGTCGTTCTTGCCATGCTCACGTACGACACGAGACCGTTATCAGGTCGATGGAGAAAAGGGTTATCTGACATGTGCGATTTGAGTTCATCTGCTTTTCCGAGAACAAAGCCTGATCTCGTTTCGATGAGAGGGTTTTCTTTACCATTCCCTTCCGTGTCGCAGAAGTACCGTTAATGTTAGACCACTTGTTTCATTCACGGAAGGACGACACTGGTGGGTGCTGGAAAGAAAAGGGGCTCTTCAATAGCATGAGATGGCTTCTCAGAATCTATGGTGAAGCTCCTTGCCTGGTAAGTCCTGAGGCCCATTCACGGAAGGTTACTAACGACAGTAATCTGATCTGCTTTCAGGGCAGTCTTTCGATCCGACAGTGAAAGTGGTCTCAAATCATCCCATCGGCAGTACATGTACTCATCCACTGATAACTTCCTAACTGTGAAAGCAACTGTTTTCCAACATTTTTCTGAAAGTAAAAGTGACCATATGGCTTGTTCTTTCAATCGGAACGAGAGCCTTTCCTTAAGGACTCTCGTTCCGTTTCCTCTAGGCTCCTTGCAGGAATTTTTTTCCCCCAGTTCGGATTTCTTAATTTTCGGGCCAAACCTCATTGCCGTCGTACTTTGTCAGCGTGGTGACGGTGTTACAACGTCACTATTGGGAAAAGTAAAAAGGCTTGGAGTTGTCAATTTAACTTTATATATATTGCATAAAATACCACATTTTGCTCTTATAACCAACGTAACTATATTCGAATAAGTACCTTCAAAACACCCAGTATTCCTGCTTAGACCCGATTTCCAAACTCAGAGCGACCGGAAGCCGCTCCGAACTGCACAGAGCGAAATAAAATTGACTCAGTACGCGTGAGAAATGCCTTCAATCTTGATGAGAGTAACGTTGCACGTCGACTCTTGATGAAACCTCTTTTTATGAGGATCATATCCGGTATTCACTCTCCGCCGATGAAACTGGAACGCCAAGGAGTAAAGCGATATTGATGAAATTTGATACGCGAAACCCTACCTTTCTCATGAAATCGATTAAGGTTTCAAAGGCGTTAAGATTATTATTCATAGAAAACCCGTCAAATGCCATCATGCAAAGGGCAAGTGGGGGGGCTCCTATTAATCGCTCTAAAGAAAGACACCCAGAGGGTTTCGTTTTAATGATATTTATATATTCTAATTATGTCTAAAAACATCTAGGAAAGTTTCAAGGATCGGGCGAATCGGAGAAAACTTGCCGAATGCCGAGGAATAGAAGAAGAGGCTTCACTGGAAACGTTCCTCTACTTTTCCATTTTTTTTTGCTTCTTTTTCTTTTTCCCTCAAGTCTCTTTGCCGTTCTCGATTGCTTGTGAAGTCATGCCGAGAATAAGTCTCCGAACTCGCTCCCATCATCTTGATCGAGAGTTTAACCTAAGTCGATTAATTGTGATGCATGCATGCAAGCACCCATCTTTCCTAGCCGTCGTGATCTGAGAGGAGCTTTGAGCCTCGTGAGAACGAGGACAATCGTGAACGACGGCGAGGCTTGGCACCATCCTCAGATCACGACGGGCCGGGAAAGTCGTCAGCCTCTGTCCTACGGCGCCGCATACTGGCCACACTTATGCCATGGTGATGTGTGACCTGATGCAGGCGATGACCTGCCTGCATCATCCACACCAAACTATCTCGATTTTACGAAAATAAACATTCGACAGAGGCCTCCTTAAGCCCTCTTAAGCCGCCTTGCTCTTAACAGCGAGGTGGCTTAAGGGAAGGAGAAGAGGGAACTGGCGTTATCGGTGGGGCCACCTTCTTCCGTAATCTGCTTGATGTGTCAAGCTGATACATCTGTTGCATGCTATGCTAAGGATCCTAAATAGGGTTGATCCAAGACCAAGACCAAGCTCAATCTGATGCATCATCCTGATGTCTGCTTCAGGTCGATGCACCAGGTTGATTCATGCGTTCCGATTAACCGACGCTGAAGAATTGAGTTCGTAGAGGTGGTCTCGGCATGACTTCACAGTTAAAAGCATTCAAGATCAGCGAAGTGGCTTGAGGAAGAAAAGGAATACGGCACGATATCGAAGCTAAATTCGTCTATTGCTCGGGCGTTCGATAAGTTTTTTCTGTATCGTCTCAACTTGTGATCTTGGAACCCTCCTCGATGCTCTTAGACACCATTGAGTTACTTAATAATAATAACACTTTATAATCTCCTTCTGGGTAGTAATTTTTTTTAATAATAAAAAGACTATTAGAACTCCCCACTTGACCTTTGTCTGAAGGCATTTGACGAGTTTCTCTGTGAATAATCAAATTACTTGAAACTCTAATCGGTGTCATGACACCGATAGGAGTTTATGCACCAAATTTCAATGTCGTTCAACTCCTTGATGTTGCAATTTAATTGGTGGACAATGTAATAAATGGATTACAATGCGTATCGAAAGGACCACGATTCGGAAGGGTAAAAAAATGTGCCAAAGAATCGGCTCTTGCATGCTCAATTATCCCCTCTTGCGGACATCACACTGGTCTCTTAAAAATATGAATAAAAGTGGAATGAAGGATTGATCGTACTTTCATTTTAAGCACGTCAAACTGCAGGCAAATGAGGTTACGAGATTCCTGGACGTAATTTTTTATTTTTGTTTGCTTTCGTGTTTCTAGATTAAATATTCCAGTCACGGCCCACAGATGCCCCTTCCTAATACGTAGTGAGGTAACCTTGGCACAATACTGCGCACAAGGCTTGGTTTTATTATTATTATACGACTAGCCTCTTTTATTCGGAGAATAGACGGGAAAACATCGTCCTTGGTCAGAGAATGAATTGAGGAATTATAGGTTGACATGCGTCACGGTAGTGAAACTCATGCCCACACGTCTCACTTCATCATGGCTCCTTTCGAAACTGGTTTATCCAAGTTGACTTCATTTCCATAAATGCCATGTGAATGCCATCTTCATCCCGTATCGGATCCGTTTCAATTCAGATTGATTTTTCATGATGGGCGCCCACGGGAATGGGATCATCTCAATTACACCGATTCTCGTGCGGGCATTTTCACGAAATCGGAACGACTAAAATTAAGCGATGTGGTTTACATGCCCCTCATGTCTTCTTTCTTTCCCGAACCTATACTGAAGGAAGTGCAAGAGCACGTGATTCTCCTTCGGGACTGAGAAAGCCTATTCGCGAAGGGAGCAATTCAGTTGCGCGATCTTCAGCTCGGGTACCTTTTTATGCGGTGGGCGAGGTTCACTGCAGGCACGTGAGTTATGGTGAGTTATCTCTGAGGGTTATGCTGGAAAAGAATTCACGACAAAACCTTGCGAAAGCCTTTGGTTCGATTTCAGCTTAGATATGGACTTCGTTTTTCCCCGGTCATCAGGCCGGTAAGTTGTGGTTCTGTCGGAATCGATGCGAGACATCTGCCTGTCAGCGAAGTCAGAATCCTTCGGTACATAGAGGAATTCAGGGGTCGCCTTGCCATCGACCTCGTATGGTTTTGGTTGCAGAAAAACACGTGTATTGAGTGTTCTGTCGATGCTATCATGAGTCATACTATCCACATGGGTTCAAAGGATGGGATACTTGTTGCTTGCTCGTAATAGGTCTGGGACGGTGGAGAGGAAGACTCTTGATGCTCCGTCAAACTCTCTCTCATCATATTATCTCTGACTGTAGACCACGTTGTGAGTCACGAAATCTGTGGAGCGGAAAGGCTTTGGAGAGTCACATGGATCGTTTTCCCCCCGGTTATCGTGCGAAAGAAGGCCATCCTTTCTCGACACGGCATCGCTGACCGTCACAATCGAAGTAGCACTCCTTCGCGTCAGTTGTGCCTCGTTTGGGAGCCTGTCTTTCTCCATCCATCAGCTGTGAAAAAGAACCTCATCACGCTCTGGACATTCAATTAATTTGGCCGATACCTTCTTCTCCCATCGGGAATAGCAGTGAAGAACGCTGCCAAACCTTCCGTGTTATATGGAGTTCGACGTTTGAACTACTTCGAGGTAATGGTTCCGTCTCCTATGTCTACGATCGGGAAGTGTCCAAGGAGGTAGTTTCCGACTGAGTTATCCGACGATAACTCAGTTGCCTCGTTCGGGGTGAAATTCCACATTCAAACACATGTGGGTCAGGTACGGCCTGGGAATTATTATGGTGAAGTTGGATCTAGGATTTTTTCCCCCCTTTTACTGGGAATTTTGAAGCTGGTGCACGTGACTGCACAGGCAGGAAAATCTTCCTCGAAGTCCCCTCGATGGCTCCCTCGATTCCTTCTTTCCGTCAGATCAAAGCCAATGCTGTCAACTTCAGTGTATGCTTGGTTGCAAGCTTACATGGACGTCCAACCGATAGATTCGGCTTGGCTAGCGTAATTGGGGAGGGAAAGGGATGGGGTGTTTAGGATTAGACGTATGCTTTCCCCGAATAAGCGATCTTGAATGACTGGACTTCGGGAATGTCTGCGGACGAGGAGATAAGAGGCACGGCCTGGAAGAGCATTATCCGCTTCCTGGAACAGGCAAAGCAACTTTCATAGCAGCACGGACAGGCGATGCGATCCCATAGTTTCATCATTACACGTACGCTGAGTCCGATTCAAGGCTGATCGTGCAAAACGATTCCCTGGACGAGATGCTGTCGATCCTATCGTATAAAATGCGATCGAGAATCGGAACCGGTCTTCAGTGCATTTCCATCCCAGCAAGATGGGTAGTAATTTGTTAGTGAGTCCTTCGACGTCGGACAAAGAAGATCAAGGACATGATGAGTACAAAGGACCAGCAACGATGGATATCCTTTTAGAAGAGATCCATCTGTCGGGTCCCGATATGCTGTCCACATTCATCCCTTCCGAACCCCCGATCCAGGAAGAGCAGACCGATAGCGATTATTATGAGAGAAATGGAGGAACCGTTTCTTTGGGACCTACAGACCCTGGACCCGTTCGAGCCGATTCCAATGGCGAGATGAAACCAGTTCAAGAGCGATTGGATTATCCTGTGAGTCTCAATTGCGTTTACTCCAGGATGACCTCGTTTTCTCCAGACATTCTTCAGACTCTTAGTTCCGGATGACGAAGTTGAGAGTGGGTCGTTGCCCCGTCATAAATGTTTGACTTGGAATCGGGTCGCGATCAGACTCGGCCATCTGATAGTGAGATAACCTTGGATCCCAGGGGAGATCGACCCAGTTTGGATCAAGGTCATGTTCATCTGGTGGGTAGAGGAGATGCGCCCATCACCATCATCCTCCATTATGGAGGGAGAGTCCCTCAACTCCATCTCTATCCAGTCGACTCGTTGATTGTGCCATGCGTCGTTAGTGTTCTCGTCCTGTTCCTCTCTATGCATGTTCTTCGTCCGTATCCCTTAGGTAGATATGGCTTTTTCTCGCAGTCGTTCTTTCCTCCTCTGGTTTTAGAACGTGCCATAACGATCTCGAATTGTATCGGTTCTACTCGGTTCCTTCTCTCCGGGCAACAGTGAATAGATTCTTCATAGTGATTTTTTCTCTCGTTCATGTATCAGCCGCTGAAATCGGAATCTCTTTCATCTACTGGGCGGGCAATCCACCTGATCCAGGTACCGATGCGCCAGAATCTTCAAGAGAATTGGAATTCGTACCATAGCAAAAAAAAAGAGTAACTCTGAGTCTTGAGAAGTGGGAAAATGACCCAAAGTTTTGATTTTGTTATCGAAGGTGCTAGTTGGAGGAGGTGGAGTGAGGAGTCACCGGTTATTCCGGCCTATCGTGATCGGAGGAATCGTGGCCGTTGTCATGATTCTTCTTCTGGTAACTATCGCCGTGTTGACCCACGGAGGTCAAACGAGCGAATCCACGTCAAAAGCGCTTTCACTTCCTCACCCCTTGGACGGGACCGGTGGGGATCCCCTCGCGTTGAAGGACTTCCTTCGTGGAAGTATCCCCCAAATCTTCATGAACAACGGATCTTGGATTTCAGGTAGGAGGCTCTCTCGTTTCGGGTGGGAGCGCGAAGTACGCCGTGCCACTAGCTTGAGCGTTTTTCTTGCAGATACGGAGATCTCTTTCACTGACGACTTCGGTGTCATGGCCTACGACGTCTCCACTGCAATTGCGAACTTACTCATCCCAGGGCGCATCATGGTGAACGGTTCATTTCATCCGTCTTGCGTTGATTCCCTCTCGCAGGGAAAATTTCATCACCATGGTTTGTATTATTCCACTATAGGGACAAACGGGTGGCTATCGGGAGAAGTTCTCAGCGGACAGGAGTTTTGCAGCCATCATATCCGATCCCCAGAAGGTGTATCGACACTCATTTCTGTCTCGATATTTCCTCTTCAGTTTGAAGACAGGGTGAGAGTTTGAACTATTTCCAATTCGTTTCAAATCTTCATGCTTTACTCAGGCCAATTACATGTAGAGTCCTTTTGTCTCGCAAGATAATGGTACTGTCATGGTATCCCTTTAATGCAGGGTTCTCAAACTAGGGGGCGCGACCCCTAGGGGGGGGGGGGGGGCAAGCGGGTCCCAGGGGGGACGCAACAGGTCATGGGATTATTTTTTTCATCTACTGCAATGTGCAATTTAAAAAACTATGGAATATATTATTTATCTATATTTTTTTTACTGAAAAAAGGTCACAGTCCTTCAAGTCCGTCTGGCTCTTTCTTCAGGAGTACAAGACTAAATAAATTCAGGAGAGTTAGTGATATCAAGAGGCGATTTCGCCCATTTCGATATCACGTGTCGAGGTCGAGCGTGCCTTAATTTAGGGTAGGCCTAACCCTCTTAAAGCTAAATATTTTTGTATTTTTGTTTGTTTTTTTTTTGTTTTTTTTTTTTTTTTACTATCCTAGTTGCTTACTGTCTAGTACCTACGTCAAAATTGCCCCCCACCTTTNGTCAGTGAAAGAGATCTCCGTATCTGCAAGAAAAACGCGAGATGTCCTACTTGCAACCGACCGACGAATGTAACCTAGAAAAAATTAAATTAAAGCAATTCAAGGGACAGACTTTTAAATTAAATTCTTTTTTTCAAGGGGTGTACATCTCCGTCGGCGATTTCCAGCGATTCGAATGAAGATGACAAATTAATCGTGCTTCCCTTTGGGTTGTAACTTGAATGCTCGACGAATGCAGCGTCCGTGCACTCGTTCTGTCTAAATAAATACTTAATAATAAATACTAAAATAGAAGAAACTCGACGACGCGGAAGAGCTGGGTTTCCTGGGCAGAGCAAAATTTCCGAAGACATTTCTTTGTCAGGTCTTTGAAAATGAGATTTGCGCCTTTATTGTTACCGGCCAGTCCAGATTCGCTCATTTGTGGGCCCTGAAGCATGTGAGCGTCGTTCTCATTAAATTACGCGAATGATCATCTGATTTCTAGCTGTGACCCGGTCCCTGAAACGTTGCAATTCGTTTCCTATTTTTTCAATCGTCGCATGAAAAAAGCATCCGTAGTGTAAGTTCAATTTCTAGGTACTCCTCTCAGAGAGAAAGGGGGCGCGACGCCGAGCCAGGGTCACTAGGGGGGGGGGGGGGGGGGGGGGGGTGA